TTCAGTACCGTCAACTACCCGTCATATCGCGGTATCAACTCGACCCAAACCGGCAACAATGCGATTCCTGTGTCTACACGGACGCGGGACCAACTCCAACATCCTGGAGGCCCAGCTGGGTAAGTGGTGTGTGGAGTCGAGGATGGTGAAACTGGAGCTGATGAACATACACAGCACCGTTAATCAGCAGGCTCAGCGCCCAGCACGAGTTTGACTTTGTCGACGGCGAGCTCGACTGTCGCGCTGCTCCCGGCATGTCGAAACTGTACCCGCCGCCGTATCTCTGCTGGTACGAACGGGGTCATCCACAAGAGATCCAAGCTGCCCAAGACTATCTGCGCTCCATCATCGACCAGGACGGGCCGTACGATGGGGTGATTGCTTTCTCCGAGGGGGCTGCGCTGGCTACCAGTCTGTTGCTGTCGGACGAGGCTGCTGGCGAGCCTCGGTTCACGCTGGCGATTTTCTTCAACAGCGTGGTGCCCCTTGTCCCGTCCGGGTCCGAGCATCTGGGGGGTTCACTCCGTGAGATTGTTTACGGACATCAGGATAGTTATCTCGATCTGCTTCTCCCCGAGGAGCAGAAAGGGTCGGCCACGGAACCGGAGAAAAAGGCGGCCTTGTCGCAGGCCTTGTGCTTTTCGCCCAAGCTGTCGAACAGGATTTCAATCCCGACAGTCCATGTGATTGGGAGGAGGGATGCCTTTGCCGAGTCGTCGCGCGTAGTGGTGGATTTGTGTGCCCGCGACATGGCTCAAGAGGTTTTCCATCAAGGCGGCCATGAACTTCCCAGGGACGGTTCAGTTCTGGATGAGTGTGCTGAGATGATCGAAACGGCCATTCTTTTTGCGTCATAATTAGTCTCATAGAAGGATAGGAACTGGTAGACTAGGTAGCAACTAATTAGTCGAGTTAATCCAACGAATTAATGTACATAATACTCGTTACCATCCATATTTACCACTTACGGCTCTTTCACACCATCTGCAGTGTAACCCGATCATTGAGGCCAATCTGAGACACCACTGCATTGTACCTTCCTCCCTTGGGCCTTGAGCCTTGGTGTGACCCACTGCACCTTTAGTCTGCGCTACTGAAATAATAAGGCCATAAATCGGATCCTCCCCGCGCTTCGCCTTTGGCTCGCATGCTTGCAAGTCTCTCTCAGACTCAAACCAGGCAACCCAACTCACCATGAACGGAACCGAGAGTGGTGCTGAGAGTGAGAGGGGACAGCTCCTGCCCGCCATTCTCGACCGTCGTGCCCAATCAAACCCTGATCGAGTCTGGGCCAAATTCCCCGGGTCGTCGACCTCGTACGACCAAGGGTTCAGGGCGGCCACGTACGGCCAGATCTGCAATGCCGTCAACCGGGTAGCTTGGATGCTGGCCGAGACTATCGGGCCCAGCGCCGAGTTCGACACGCTGGCCTACCTCGGACCGAGCGACCTTCGCTACCACGTTGTCATCTTGGCCGCCATCAAGACGGGGTACAAGGCCTTTCTCCCATCTCCACGCAACAGCACCGTCGCCCAAAAGGACCTGCTCACTCGCCTCGAATGTCGCGTCCTGGCCACCACAGCGGACCCGCAACCACCCTTTGTGTCGAGCATCCTGCGCGAGTATCCGGTCCAGACCGTTGTGAACATCCCTCCGCTTGATGAGTTGCTGCGCCTGGGAGCGAGCGACCATGTCCGCCCATATCCCTACACCAAGTCCTTTGACGCTGCCCGTCACGACCCCGTCTTCGTGTTGCACACGTCGGGCTCGACGGGTATCCCGAAGCCCATGGTCTACACAAACGAGTTCGTCTGGCGCATATTCAAGGCAAACACGCTGCCTGCCCTGCCGGGGACCACGCGCGTGGATGACCTTTTCCTCCGTGGCGAGTTCTTCTCATTCTTGCCCGCCTTCCACGTAAGCTGGTTACCACAATCTCCCCAAAAAGTTTTGTTGATAATAATAACGAGTTGTGCAGGTTGCCGGCATTGGATGGGGTTTGGTGCTGCCCATGTTTTCCGAGAGCATCCCGGTCCTGCCACTCCCTGGACGGCCACCATCCACCGATGGTTTCCTCGAGGCCCTAAAATATGGCCGATTTGACTGGGCCTTTCTCCTTCCCGTCATCATCGACGACGTGAGCAAAGATGACGAGGCACTCGAGCTCGTCGCTTCCCAACTAAACTATGTGTTTTACACGGGCGGCGCGGTGCCGGGGCCGGCAGGGGAGGCGGTGTCCTCCAAGATACCCATCTTCTCCGGTCTCGGCTCCAGCGAATGCTCTGCTCTGCCTCAGCTGCGCGTCTTGGATCATATCTCCTTCACCGACATATGGAAGTACCTCCACATCCACCCGGCCTCCGGAGCCGAATTTCGCAGCTATGTGGACGACTTGCACGAGATGGTCATAGTGAAGTCGACCGCCTGTCCGGAAGCGCAGCCGGTATTCGCCATGTTCCCGCACCTGGACAAATACGAGACGCGAGACCTCTTCAGTCCCCATCCTAGCATTCCCGGTCTCTGGCGGCACCGCGGCCGACGCGATGACATTGTGGTCTTTTTGAACGGGGAGAAGACGAACCCCATCTCTTTTGAGCAGGACGTCTCGCGACACGCAGCCGTGAAAGCCGCGCTAGTGGCCGGAAGCCAGCGCTTTGAGGCCTGCCTGTTGATAGAGAGCTCCAGCACGGGCATCCTGTCTGATACTGACAAAGCGGCACTCGTCCAAGACATCTGGCCCGTGGTCGAAGACGCGAACCGCCATTGTCCTGCACATGCACGCATCTCCAAGGCCAAAATTCTCATACTCGATCCGGACAGGCCCATGCTGCGCGCCGGCAAGGGGACAATGCAGCGAGAGGGGACACTGCGCCTGTATGCAGCCGAAATCGACGCTCTCTACTCCAAAGCAGAGGGTCAGGGTCAGGGGCAGGGGCAGCCACCGCGGGTTCTGATATCCAGCCTGGAGGATGTCGTCAAGTCCCTACGCGCCCTGGTTGCTGATGTGACCTCCTGGAGCCACTTTGACAACGACACGGATTTCTTCTCAACTGGAATGGACTCGTTGCAAGTATTGGGACTAAGCGGCGCAATTCGGTCCGGCTTGGGGATACCTTCTGTCTCTCCAGCAGTCATCTACAGGAATCCGTCCATTGATCTCTTGGCTAAGGAGGTCTACCATGCTGACTCTGGCACGATGGCGACGGCAGAAGATACTGTGGACAGCCGCACAGCCACCATGGAACAGCTCCTTCGGCATTATGAACAGAAGATCGATCAGATTGCCACCAAAGGTCTGACACCGCCAACAAACGAGAGTACCAGCAGCATGCCAACCTCAACATCCACCTCACAGGTTGTCTTGCTCACCGGCTCAACGGGCACGGTAGGATCCTTCCTGTTGAATCGACTCTTGACCGACAGCAATGTATTTCACATCTACTGCCTCAACCGAGCCCATGATTCCGTCTCTCTGCAAGCCGCTCGCAACCGCCAGAGGGGACTGCCCTGCGACGACTTCCCCCCAGACCGAGTCACCTTTCTGACCGTCAACCTTGCCCGGGACCATTTCGGACTGGACAGCACCACCTATACAACCCTCGTGGACAGCGCAACACAGATCCTGCACGCTGCCTGGCCTGTCGACTTCAACCAGCCCCTGCGATATTTTCAGCCCAGCCTGGACGGCCTCGTTGGACTGCTATCCTTTGCCCACGACGCCAGGCAGCGACCCTCCCTCTTGTTCCTCTCCTCCGTCAGCGCCGTCAGCTCCTACCAAGCGAGCACCATCGAGTCTCGTCTCATACCCGAAGAGCCCATCCCCGACGTGTCCTGCCCTGCCGCCATCGGCTACGGGGAGAGCAAGTTCCTCGCAGAACGGCTGCTCGCCTACGCGGCAACAAAGGAAAGCCCGTCTACCCGCCGCTGCTCGTTGGGAGTGGTACGCATCGGCCAGGTGGCGGGGACAGCGACAGACTCGACAGCAGGGCGAGGGCGAGGCTGCTGCTGCTGGAACCGGACGGAATGGCTGCCCAGCCTGATTCTGAGCTCGCGCCATCTCGGAGCACTGCCCGACTCGCTTGGCCAGGGGGGCAGCATCATGGAGTCTATCGACTGGGTGCCCGTGGACGAGCTGGCTGGCATTCTTGTCGAGCTGTCGTTCCATCTCTCTGAGAAGTCAAAACCAGACCCCACAGCAAGTCTGGATGATCTTCATGTTTTCCACTGCATCAACCCTCACCCTACTCCGTGGGCGGATCTTGTCCCTGTCATTGTCCGGGTCTTGTCGGCGTCACTTGGCAGTCAGAACATGATTGACAAGACGGGGACCGAGGAGCAACAGGAGAATCATGATGCCATTTCGGTAGTCGGGTTCAGAGAGTGGCTGGCTAGATTGGATAGCAGTGCGACCTCCACCGAACAGGACGGCGCCGGCGAACCATCCTCCTTCGCAAAGCAGCTGGAGAAAAATCCAGCACTGAAACTGCTGGACTTTTATCACCAGCTCGTCATCGACAGCCGGCAGGGGGACGCGCCATCGGCAAGGCTTTCGTCGCTGAAGACTGTTAGCCTTAGCAAAGCTCTGGCTGACTTGGGCCCAATCCGGGCGGAGTGGATGGGTCGCTGGGTCAGAGACTGGTTGGTGGAAGGTTGACGCAGAAGAAGTGTGGGAGGTGACGTGAGAGAAGAGAGGTACAATACTCCGTACAATGTACATTTCAACTGAAGGCGTCCACTTGGCCGAGCAGAAGCTTCCTCGTTGCCATGCAACAACGCTAAGAGGACACACAGCGGTTGAATACAAATCATAATTGAAATGGTAGCCACCCACTTTGTTGAACTTGGGGGTGGGAAATTTAAACGAAATCAAATCGCTTGAATGGTGATGAAGCTCGGCGGAACCGTAGAACGAGAGTTTTGCTTTTTGGAGAAGCCCATGCAGCATAATTTACAATATAGTTGCAAAATAAGTCTACATATTATAAATCTAATTGATGGAGGGTCGACTGGTGTAGTGGTTATCACGTCTCGTTCACATATAGTTGAACACTGCTGGAAAATTCCACCGAGAAGGTGCCAGGTTCGATCCCTGGGTCGATCATCATTTTGTTCCAGACCCAGTCTGAGCCTGCTTTTGCTGTCATGATAACTCGATTGAACATCATTGCACTGGGCGTGGTGTCCTGTGGTGTTTGGCCTCCCTCGGCTCTTGATGAGCTTGCTTTTTTGGTCAAGTTATGACAAGCAGGCAGCAGCCGACGAGCCAAGTAGAAGCTTGGACCAACTAGGAAATCCCCAAACATGACGCAGCCTGGAGCTTGAGCCGAGCAACCCCATCCCTCGATTCCGTCTGAACTTCTGAAGCTCCAAACCTCAAAACATGCCGAAGGTACCCTCCTTTCGACGGCCGGCTACCAAAAGACCACACAACTGGCCCTGAGTCGTCCGACGGCCTCGGAGCGGACCGTCCTACCAAAACCGACGAAGTTCCGATCCAAACACAGCCGCGTCCCGGTTCATTCGATGCGATGGCAACCAAGGCCAAGTCCCGCTGGGCCGACGACGAAGCCGACGCAGCGCTGGAGGCCCAACGGAAAAAGGAAAAAGCGGAGAAGAAGCGGCTCAAAGCCGAGAAGGCGCGCAAGCTCGAGGCTGAGAAGCAAGCTCGGGATGCCGCGCCGCGAGAGGCAGAGAGCGCAGACGGTCGACCCCCCGCGAAGCGGCGGAGGATATCACCCGAGCGCGAGCCAGCACAACCCGCCACGGGATCCGACGCGCCCAGCAGTGGCCCTAAACTGCTGCGCTTCGAGAGCGGCGCTTTCGGCAGGTGTCGCAGCGTCGAGAACTACGACAAGCTTAACGACATCGAGGAGGGCGCATACGGCTGGGTGTCGCGAGCCAAGGAGATCGCGACCGGGAAAGTAGTTGCGCTCAAGAGGCTCAAGATTGACCCCAAAGATCGCGGGGGGTTGCCAATCACTGGTCTGCGCGAGATACAGATTCTCAAGGACTGCGAGCACCGGAATGTGGTCATGCTCCAGGAGGTGGTCGTTGGCGACGACACGAGCAGGATTGAGAAGTAGGTTCTCGGAACCCCCACGCAAGATCTCAAGAGGGTGCTAACAAACTGACAACACTTTTGCCCCAGCATCTTCCTCGTCCTCGAGTTCCTCGAGCACGACCTCAAGTCCATCCTTGAAGACATGCCCGAGCCCTTTCTTGCGTCCGAGGTCAAGACGCTGCTCGGCCAGCTCGCCTCGGGCGTGGCCTACCTGCACGACAACTGGATCCTCCACCGCGACCTTAAGACGTCCAACCTCCTCCTCAACAACCGCGGCCAGCTCAAGATCGCCGACTTCGGCATGGCCCGCTACGTCGGCGAACCCCCGCCGCCCAACCTCACCCAGCTCGTCGTCACGCTCTGGTACCGCGCGCCCGAGCTCATCCTGGGAGCGAGGCGCTACGGCCCCGCCGTCGACATGTGGAGCGTCGGCTGCATCTTCGGCGAGCTGCTGACGCGCGAGCCGCTGCTCCAGGGCCGCAACGAGGTCGACGAGCTGACAAAGATCTTTGAGCTGTGCGGCGTCCCGACCGACGAGACGTGGCCGTCGTTTCGGCGCCTGCCCAACGCGCGCGGCCTGCGCCTCCCGTCATCGGCGGCGGGCAACAACAAGGCCGCCACGGGGTCCGCGATCCGCGCCAGGTTCCCCCTGCTCACCTCGGCCGGCGCGGCCCTGCTCGGCGGCCTGCTGGCGCTGGACCCGGAGAGGAGGCCGACGGCCAGGGAGATGCTCGCGCACGAGTACTTCCGGCAGGACCCCAAGCCGAAGCAAGAAGCCATGTTCCCCACCTTCCCGAGCAAGGCCGGCCAGGAGAGGAGGCGGCGGCGGGAGACGCCGAACGCGCCCGCGCGGGGCCAGCAGGCGGCGGATTTCGGCGCCGTCGATTTCACGGGGATATTTTCCGGGAGGGAGAGGGAGGAAAGGGGGGGTGGGTTCTCGCTGCGGATGGTGTAGTGCTGCTCCCTCTCGCCGTTGTGGCGGACTGGATTGATGCCGAGACTGGACCAACAACTCGGACCGAGGCAAGCAAGGCTACTTACTCAATACCACTGCCCGGGTCAGAAGAACGCTCCATGAAGCTACCTGATATATATGCAGTGTATGATAACCAAAAACAAACAAAACCAGTACAATGCCAGGCAATGCCCGTTACCCTCACCGTCTTCAGACTTTTTTGCCAGGCGAGATTGATCCAAAATGAAATGTTAGCAACACTTGATCCGCTCTTTAGCACCCCGACATTACCTAGTGCCGAAACAGACCAGAAAAACAAAATGCTGATGAACCTTCAGCTGCCATGTCTCAGTCACCCCAAACCAAATTACAAGACGTAACTCCGCTGCCGCCGCTCCCGCCCCTCTCCTCCGCCTTCCCCACTCCTCCCCCGTCTCGTGCAAAACAGACTCGGCTCAAATCATTAGTTTAGACAAACGCTCCCACCCCCGCAACAAACCAAGTGAAGCTGAGCACGGTGACGGCACTCATGACGACAGCGACGCCCACGGCCTTCTGGTCCAGCCCGGACGGGGCGGCGGCGCTGCACGAGGCGCACTGCCAGCCCTCGTCCGAGTTGGTGTAGGGCTGGCGCTCGTACATGCCAAAGTAGAAGCCCGAGTAGGGGGCGAGGTAGCCCGGCTCCGGGGTGGCGCTGATGCCGCCGTCGGCGTCGGCGATGACGAGCGTGTACTGCTCCGTCAGGAGCGGGTCGGCGATGTGGCTGCTCGCAAAGGCGTCCGTGTCCCACGTGTAGGACCCGGGCTGGGCGAACGTCATGTTCTGCGTCAGCGTCCACGGCTGCGGCACCTTGCTGCACCGCACGTAGATGTCGATGGCCGTCGGGTCCGCCTGCAGGTTGGTGTAGTTCCACCCCCACGTCACGAAGTCGCCGATCTTGTAGAGCTGCGTGCCCGCCGTGATGGCCGGCGTGATCATGACCACGCCGCCCGCCGGGTCCTGCGCGTTGAACGTCGTCTTCTTGGCCGCGCTCGTCCGCGTGCTGTTGCCCGTCTGCCGGACCGTGCCCGTCGCGGACCCCGTTTGGGTGATGCCGCCCGTGTTGAAGTTGGTCGTGATGGGCTCGAACGGGTTTCGGGACTGCGACGCCGTTTGTGTCTCCTGGTTTTCCTCGTCGCCGTTCGCCGAGTTGGTTGGTGCCGCTGTTTGAGTGGCAGCAGGAGGATCTGGTGGTATGTCAGAATGAGGTGTCTATCGCAGGGTTTATGCGTCATACCTGATGTAGCATCTTCTTGCCGGACGACGAGTGTGTCAAGTTCTGGGAGCCATCTTGGCCATGACAATGCCGAGGCTACTGGGGACAAGGAGAGTAGGGCGACGGCCAGGTGGCCTGCGGAGAGATGCGCCTTCATGACTGGCGGCGTGCTGGAGAGTTTGCCGGGACGACCAAGACCACGGACGGAGCCCAGTTTGTGGCCCTCCTCCTACGTCACGAAACACGGACCAAGTAGACTCTTGTTCGACTCCCGGATATTCCGATCTGTGGTAAATTACGGTGGTGGCCCGGGACGTGGCTCGGTGTTTTGCTGGCGGCAACCCCTATTATTGGCCGGCCAAAAAGCAAGCCCGCGCGAAATGGCGATGGAGAAGGCAAGACGTTTGACAAAACGGGACGATCGGTAGTCTCGGTCGATAGAGCGTAGGGGTCGCGGACGAGGGAAGCAGACGAAGCGAGCGTACTGGTGTGAAAGCGAGCGTGGTTGCAAAAGAAACAGGTTGGAGTGCCAGGGACCCGGTGTGGACTCTCCTTTGGAAGCAGGACGATTGATCGGGAGACGGTTGGAATGCTGATGCCCAGGCCCAGATTTCTTCTCAGCGATCCATGCGAGTCTCAGGGCCAACTGATGGATTCGCTGGGTTCGCTCGGAGTGTCCCAGCCAATGGGCAGGCGCGACTGGCCCGGGCTGGGGCTGGCCGGGGGGCGCAGGTTGCCGCATTGAAATGCTTGGCCATCTCCAAGCCAACACGGCATTCGTATTGTCTGCACTTTAGGAAGAGTGGCAGCCATGACAGCATCCTTTTATTTTTAACCGGTTCTCGGACCCGTGGACACGAGTTTCTTACACTCTTCAACCTGAATTCGCAATGCGTAACTTCAAAAGCTAGATTTCCCGTCCATATCTACTGATTTATCCTCCCGTCTCTCCCCGTCATACAGAGCATGTGGGCCTTTGCCTAGGTAGTTACGGCGTTGGTGAACGACCACAACACTGCTCCTCGCTGCTACACGACGGCTGCCGAGCTTCCAACGGATTCGAATTCTGTGGAGACCACAGAAATCGTGAAACTTCCGCCGCACCTCCGTCATCCGGGTTCGCGCTCCGAGATGCTGTGTCTTTCTTGCTGCCTGGGCGCAGCAGTGAGAGGCTCAGGGCATGTGCCGCCGACACCATGCCAAAGGCCGCTGTGTGGTTGCGGCATGCCAAGCGATGCTCCGGCTTGCATTCCAGTCGCGCAGGATGGGATTGAGCTGGGCTGTTTACAGCGATGAATCGACGTGTGAAGTGTAAACACTTGGCTGACTGATTGGGTGCAGAGAGACAGACCAGATCTGCTATATCAACAGTGCTTCCCTTGAACCATCTCGATATTGGCTGGAGTTGGTGTGCGCTATGGAGAAGTACATCGGACGGGGATATCTCATCACCATCCGCGACATGTGCGGCGCAGCCCCCCGATTCCAAGTTGGCCATTTGGCCCGGGTGGCACCACATCAGATCAGGGACGGTAGATGAGACGCTGGGGCGGATATCAACATCTGGAAGGTTCGGTACCCGAGGTCGAAGCGCCTGGATGCTGTAGAGGGGAAAGGCGCGGCTAGCCTCACTGAGGTAAGGTAGCTGCGTAGGCCTGGCCTTCCATTGTGAAAAGTGGCTCTGCCAAAGGGTCCTTGAACATCGATTCTAACGTCGATTCTCAGATCTGCTCCAGGTCTCAACATTAGATGTGGTGGTTGTTGGGCTGACAAAACCCGACCCCTCGCAGCCTCAGCTTTGAGTGATGCTTCCATTGTAAGCTACATCAA